ATCATATGCCCACCAGTTTTCGTAACACCCAGACACCGGTCGACCAGACACAAGAACCGAAGAAAATCATTATAGGTGTCACGACCTCTCAGTATGAAATAATCAGCAAAAATCAAATTTGCTCAGTCAAAACGTTTTTCTCCAGAGCATGATCTACCCGTCAGAGAAAAAAAATCATTGGAACCAGCAGCATTTTGGCATGAGGTAAAAGTCGTCTAAAAATACATGTAAATAAGTACAAGGGTTAAATAAGGGTTTTAAGTTGTTATTTTTTTCGCCCGCTCCCCACCATCTGAACGCCTGGAACAGGCTATGAAAACTCGAAAGTTCAATTGCTGTATTTTCGAAATGAAACATGCTACGAAAATTTGATGACGTCACTGTGAAAACCATCTGTAATTCAAGCACGTGGAATTTTATTGATCACCCATTATGTGAGGTATGGAACGGGGGGTTACGGGGGGGGGGAAAGGTTGAGGAAAGGGTCTGGGGACGTCCCTAAGTTGGCAAGACGATGGCAATAATAGTAGCAAATTGTGCATTAGCATATTATTTGCTTCACAATAACACATGCGTTGTCTTTGGAGAACGATCACTGAACGATCTCTCCTAGACTTTCTAAATGTCCTTTATTTTCTTCCTGGTTAACGTTGCTTACCTCGAGACTTCGTCGCTCGCTCGGTCTCTGGCGACTTCATGCATTGAAGCTCGCTTCATTCACTTTTATGAACTTATGAGAGGTCGGCTTGTAGCAAGTCTACTTCTCTCCGTTAGTTGTCCGTCAGCTGAATCAGTTATCACTGAATTATGCTGAAGAGTAGGGTATTTACTCCTGAACTTAAACCTTAACATAGCAGTTGCGATCTCCCTTAAATTATTACAGACGACTCTCGGTTTCGCTTTCCTACAAAACTACATACCTGGTATACAGATGTATACAATTCTTATAATGCGTCTTTGTGGTGTTTTGCGATGTTTGTCACGTCCTCTTACAAAAAAATTCCTGTTGTCATGTGCGAATTGGCCAGTGGCTCATGTAGGTGATCGAGCCAGAGACAAACATCAACCTGAGGCAAGAGAAATCTTTTGACAAAAATTCAACTAGTAATGTGTTGTCTTGTCTATCTAAATAGGCATAATTAGCCTGCGTGACAGGCGCAAAAAAGGGCGGGGGAAGGGGGGGAAAACCTCCTCCCTATCCCCTATCCTTTCGACGCCTGCTACGCAGGCTTGGCATATTTTTTAAGTGAAGTATTGAAAAAGAACGATATTAACCGCTTTTAGAAGAATTGACACCAAAAAGAGAGCTTGCTCGGAGGCTACGTCTTTTCTCTCTTTTCCTCTTCTCTCCATGAAAATCGATACCGATACCCGGTAAAGTCTCATCTTATCTTTACACGTGCGGAGACGTCATAACCAAAATTTTAACAACCACACTTTACCAGTCACACCCACTGTGCTCGATCCATCATTGCATTATCATTGTTATGATTTGTTTGTTTGTTTGTTTGTTTGTTTTTTATATTAAAGCTTTTCCAATACTGTAACTACATAATTATAGTCATGCAAATAAAGCTTATGTTGTTGTTGTTGATGTCACGCGCTGCACGCGGGAGCTCCGCTGAAACGCATTTGATACATACTTGCCTGGTTACTAAGCATGTTATGGTAAACGCCTAATAACTGGTACCTTGGAAAAAAGTTAATTTTGTGTCCCGAGGCGGGAAACAGTTTCAGTGTTAGATGCAATGCCCGAAGTAACCAATGAGAGCGTGCGTTGTTGGGAAAAATTTCCCGTGTTTAGCGTACCCAGTGGTTCCCAGTTACTGTTAGCCTGAATTTCATCCGATTACTTCGAGTCGTTTTTACTCCCTCAGTAACTTAGGGAGTAAAAACGACTCGAAGTAATCAGATGAAATTCAGGCTAAGTTATTGCAAGTGAATTCATTTCAACTAACCCATCCGATCACGAAAATTGAAACAGAGACGATACTAATTGATACAAGACCAATGAATTTTCTCGATGTTTAACTCTCTTAGCTCTTTTGGTGCTGATTTTTTTCGTGACCTTGTTAAGTTCCCCGAGAAAAGCCGGGGAAAAAGTCACAGAAAAATATGAAACGGCAAACTGATTCTTATCGCGAGGCGATGAAGAGGTAAACAAAAGAATAAAACCAAAAAATATATATTTAAAAAAATTGCCTAATATTTCAGTTTTAACGAACCTTAAGTTTTATTTTCATTTTTCTTTTAGCACCTGAGGAGGGTTTGTTTTCAAACCAAAATATTGGTTTTTTGTTGTGGACTTGCTGATATGTTATATAGTTTGGGAAAAGTGACACTTGATGAAATGTAAAGAAGCAAAGCTGTGCACTTAAATTAAGCTCTACTTTGAATTTAGTAGTCAGAGCACTGAATACTTTATACCAAAATTAGACTTCTGATGAGACTGAACTGTATTGATTCAGGTAGCCTGCCAGCAGGCTCTCCACTTCAAGTGGCGAGAGAGCGTGCGAGTGGCGGAGGAAAAGGAGAGCTCTCCTCTCTTTCCCTAGACTACGATCAGTCTCTCTTTTTTCTTGGTCCTTCGAGCAAAACGCCCGAGACACGCAAATAACCACGAGCGTGACTGAAGTTCCCCACCTCGCACACTTGCGTCTCCCTTCGCGTGCGGCTCTCGAGTGACTTCTCTCGACTCCCCCAAGTGGAGAGCTTGCTCATAGGCTATCCAAGAAAGAAAGGGGAAAAAAAAACTAGTTGGTTCTAACGACCACCCAATGAGTCTTGCTAAAAAGAAAGAAAAAAAACAGCACATCAAAATATCATTTCTCGCTGAAACAGATGACCTAACATGACCTAACATGACCTAAACTTCGAGCCGAGACCCGAACCAAGGGTCTTGGTCTTTTCCTTTTTGAAAGCCATTGCTCGAGGAACCGGGCCCATAAGGGTAAACCTTGACCAACAGCAATCAACGTTGGCAATACGGAGTTTTTAAACTCTCTATCTCTATTGCTGCTCTCTATCGTTTCTGAGAATTTCTCAAAATAGAAAATAGCGTGAACTACCAATTTAAGTGTAGAAAATGATGAAAAGTAAACGACAATTAAATGAGAACCTTGGTCACGTGGTACTATTTTCATTACAATTAGCCCCCCAATAACCGTAATTATCGAAGGTTGTATCGAGAAAACAGGAACAGGAACATGTTGGAGTGTAGCCTGCAGTGCAGGCGTTTTCTTTGAGCGCGCAATTTGCTCGCGAAAGCGCCATGTTGAAACTTCGCGAAGAGAGGGGTTACTATTTCTACTCTCCCCAATCTTCCAATGTCATAAAATCAAAGATCTAGATGGCGGCTACAACAACATTACGAACACGAACAAGGTTTCGCGCACCCAAAATACGCCTGCACTGCAGGCTAGTTGGAGTGGTTTTTACTGACTAGCTACAGCGTCCCTCTGACCAGTGTGATAACGCTCGCAACTTTGGTCTTAACAACAGTGATCGTCTTCAGACTGTTTTCCAAAAGGCAAGTGAATGATTTTGGAAACAAATTCGTGGTGATTACGGGCTGCGACACTGGGTTTGGTCACGAAACAGCTATTCACCTGGATAAGATGGGAGTTCCTGTGTTGGCGACTTGTCTGACAAAGGAAGGGGAACAGAATTTGAAATCAGAGACGAGAGACAGGCTTAAGGGATTTCAGATTTGACAAACTTGCAAACAAATCAAAGATATCTACGAGAAAGTAAAGGGAATTTTGCCCTTGGGACAAGGTGGGTTACGGTTTGACTTTTGGCACTCCCGGCTTACCACTCAAACCGAATCGAACGTTTTATTAATCGAACTTAATCGAACTCAGTAAAGTTTAATCGATTGATTACGTTTGATTAAGTTCGGTAATTAAACACAATCTAACTCTGATCTCAAAAAAAAAAAGTTTAGGGGGGGTGTTTACATTGAGAAAACTCGCACCGGTGCGAGTTTCATGCCGCGATGACTTTTTGATTTTCGTAATCGAACCCAAGCGAACTTTGATTGAGTTCGTTAGGTTCGATGTCTTCAGGCGATAAAGGCCGTTTTTGTCACGCGTTTAACCCTTACCTTTGACGCGCCTCAAAGGTATATTTGATTAGCATCGTCAAATATGTCTGAGATTCGAGCCAAAGGTGTGGCAAAAAGCGCGGCAAAGTTATTATGTCTGAGATTAAAGTCAAAGGCTTGCCAAAGGTCTGGTCAAATGGCGTTCGCCTGAAGCTTAGGTCAAAGCTGCGGCAAAGGTGTCGTCAAATATGACTGAAATTCAAGTCAAAAGTTTAACAAAGGTGCTGCCAAATATGTTTGTTCTTTTTTCCTCCCCGCGCACCCCGCTTCCTCGCTCGCCTCGCGCTTCGCGCGAATGCGGCGTTATTGCCTCGCTTGGCTCATAAGCGATTGATATACAGGCTAGACCCCAACTTGAGGTTTCAGTCAAATTCAATTGCTGCTTGGATACCGTTTAAAAAGGTGGGCAGATAAGAGACTGAGATCTTAATCTTGTAATTTATTGACGTAAACCTCATTAGATATATAGAGGCCTATAATAACGCAGCTCTTTGCCGTAGTGCCAGCCTTGCATTCAGTTTTGTTTTATTTTACCGGCACTGTAAGTGACGTCTGGCTACAGCATCTCTTTAATTAGAGATCCCGCAAGAGGAACCAGCCAGTTATATTTACGCGTTGCGTGGACCTCTGCATTCAAACAGTTTTTCCTAATGCTAATATTGTTGCCATCGTCTTGCCAACTAAGGCACGTCCCCAGACCCTTTCCTCCACCACCCCCCCTCGCGCGATCTCTCGAAGTGCCTACGGAGGAGCGTTTAATCATTACTCTGCGTTAAGAGCCGTCTGCCTGGATAGCAAGCTTTTTTGCGCAATGGTAATTAATAACTGTACCAGAGTACAAGTGCTGAAAGTAAATTTTGTTGGAAAAAAAAACCCTTTATTCTTTTTTTAAAATTATTTTGCAGGCCGTACTACCCTTCCGCAGTCAGCTAGCTATAGTATCACCAAATATGGCGTGGAAGCATTCTCAGATGCTCTGAGACGTGAAATGCGCCCTTGGGGAGTACAGGTCAGCATTATTGAACCAGGATTGTTCAAGACTCCATTGTCAGATGCAGAGCGCAATATACATTCATTACAGGAATTGTGGGATGTTCTTAGCCCGGATTTAAAACAGGAGTGCGGAGAAAAGCGTCTAGAGAATAGTAAGATCATCCGCTACCATCTGTATTGATTATATAACTAAGGTATTTGCTGCTTTTTGGAAACTAGGTTTAAACCCACACTTAGATTACTTGGCCTTTGAGCACATGAAATGCGTACACCTTCTCTGTGTGTTTAGATAACTCAGTTTGGACATTAAAAGACTAACTTCCAGCAGTTCGTGCTTTGCTGGTATTGAAATACAGTAAAACCCCGCGTACAAGAACCTGGATTTTTTAATTTAGCCTTAACAGGTTCTTATATAAATGGTACTTAAAGCAAATTTAGCCTACCAAGGTTCTTAAAATAGGTTCTTATAATTTCATATGAATTTCATTTAAGTATATTATAAATATCATCTCATAATACAATATAAATCATTTATACCATAATCCCTAAAGGCAGTACAGTGCAGCTATGTCCTTAACAAAACATAACAAACAAACTCATGGTCAGTTCTCTGAATGCCATTTCAAAGTTGATACACTTTTACAGAAACGCCACTGATAAGAACCTAACCTAAAAGTTTAGCCTTAATAGGCTCTTATGTGGAGGGGGTTTAAAATGAAAATTTTAGCCTAACAGGTTCTTAAAACCCAGGTTCTTATACGCGGGGTTTTACTGTACATACACGTGCTAGCTGAGTGAAGAACTCGAAATTCATTTAAATATTCTAAGACTAAATCTATTCTAAGTTTTTCATTGTTTTCAACATTTTTAAAATTTCTTTACAGTTAAGAATGGCATGAGAATCGTGCTTGGCTCCCAGGCATGCGCAGACACATACAAAGTTGTAGACGCAATCGTCGACGCTCTGAAGTCACAAAGACCGCAAGCACGTTACGTCCTTGGTTTTGATGCAAAACTGTACAACCTTATTTTGTTATTACCTACTTCTATAGGTGATCGTCTTTTGCCAAAAATTCTCTGAGCAAAATCAAACTCAAGCTAGCATTTACCAAGACAAATTTTTCTTCTTTTTGTAAGCTTTCAATGCGAAGTCACCTACTGAAGTTTTAACAGGTTTTAGATAGCACCAAGTGAATTGATAACAACTAACACTTACTGACTTACTTGAAAAAGATCTTTTTTACATGACGTCACGGCAGCCATATTGGTATTCCTAAACGATGAAACGGCGGTCATGATGATGTTCCAAGCCACTCTTGAGGAAATTTAACTTTCATGTAAACTCTTTCTCGGTACCAGGAGTTTTTTCAGAAATCGCTTAACGGAGCTTATACCTCCCGTTGTTGGCTCGATTATGGCAAAGTTTGAACAAATTCTATGTACTCATACCGAGTGGCTTGAATTTTTCGTGAATATAGTTGTTTGAAGAAGGTAGGCAGAAGTCCTCTTCGTAACCTGGGTCAGAAATGCTTTGAACGAATGATGTACTATAGACTGTTTTCACATGACGTCACGGCGACCATATTGGTGTCCGGAAACAATGAAACGGCGGCCATGTTGGTGTCCCAAACCAATTCTGTGGGAGTTGATTTCGTTTCTTATGCAAACGCTTTCTTTTGTTCCAATAAATTTGCATAGATGCTGGCCACGTGAGTGAAAACACTATATACGCTCTAGAGTACCTTTTCTGTCCTTATGCCCCGAAAAATAATCAATATGACCGCAAAATGCTATATCATCGAAGGATAACTGTATTAACGACTCAACGCATAATGCAATATAGTTTCAACGCGAAATGTAATATCTCTTCTTACGGGCATATTGTAATAGAGCGGTTTTCACTTGACTGTCGAAAGGGATTGGTTTTGGTTTTGGTTTTGGTTTTACTACGCCCTTTGGTTGGCTAGTGTATTTACTTTGGTTTTGGTTTTACGACAGTCAAGTGAAAACCGCTCTAACTGGAAATACAAGTTGTACAAGAGGTGAAAGTACTAAATCATAATAACCCAAAGTACAGTTGTAAGAGTAGTGAAAGTACTAAATCAGAGGTGTAGAGAAAACATTGAACAGGGTTATAATTCACTCTATTTCACAACAGACACAACAAAACTTATACCCTCAAAGTAAAGGTATTCTCTTATTTTAAAACAAATAAACGTGATTCAGCTTTTATTCACACTTGATGTTATTCAAGATGCCGCCGACAAAGATACAAAAAAAGAGGGGCTGAATGGCGGTACCTCGATAACACTAATTTTTTTTGACTGTGTAACCTGAAACAGTTAAATTTTAGGTATTTTAATACTAACAGTAAAAGAAAAATTCACAGTAACATTAAATTTTTTCCAGGAAGAGACAAAAACGGCGCAAAAAGCCAAATTATTTTCTTTAGTATATCAAGGAATTTTCGGCCATTTTCCGACAATTCCCGATTATCTCAGAAGATTTCGAAGGCTACCGAGAATGTCCGAAGACTGGAGACGATTTCTGAGGAGACACCCGAAAAATTTTCCACTTTATTGTCGTCGTTATATTCATATCTGAACGACATATTTTTGCAGTGATCAGATGCGAGTTTTTCACGAAAAACCCTCCAAACACTTAACGGTATTTTCTCTTGAAAGAGTAAACATGAAAAAATTTACCAATTTAACAGCAAAGACATAAAATTTTAGGTAAATAACACTAAACACTAAACCCCATTCAGACCCTCAAAAATGATTAACGTTTTGAAACCTGGAAAACCAGAAGATCAGGAACCAAAAATGAGGTGAAATGACATCCTCTTTACCAGATCAGCGTTATATGCTCTCTTCTTTTCTCCTTATTATTTCTTTCATCATCAACCTTCTGCAAAAAAAAAAATGAAAAATTTGGAAATTTCGGTTGGAAGTTAGATAAAGAAGATAATAGAGGTGTATGTTATGGGGAGGTAGTAGCCTGCGCGTCTGGCCTGGAGGAACGGAAAAAGGGAGTGGGGATGGGGAGAGAAGGAAAGGGACTCCCCTTCTCATTCTTCTATCGCGAAATTGCCCTAACCCTTTCCTCCCCACTTTTCTGCCTGCCACTGACTCAGGCTAAGGAGCTAGAAATGTCGTGTGATACCATCGGTACAACATTTTCTTAAATTATTTTTATACAGTATATTAATACGTGACTGTTCAAAACATATCGATAAAACATATTTACAACAAAGCAAAGCATTGAAGGTACACTGTGTTAATAAGTTTGTACATGGTTTGGTTTGAAAATGGTCACCGAGGAAAGGTTATTTTAGCAATAAGTCGGGTGAATTATAATGGCCGTTTCGTTGTGGAGTTGAACTGCGCAGAGAGATGCTGGCCGTTTCAGTACCGAAAGGTCAGGCTGTTTTATGGAATTATTTGATACAGGGAAGTTAGAATTGACAGAAGTAAGAATTCGGTTCAAATAAAAAGAAAAGCGTCATAATCGTGAAAATATTGCTGCAAAAAAATGTTTCTACATCAATTAAAATAAGTGAATATATATCAACTTACTTTCCTTCCGCACCTTTTCTTTTATCGAAGACCAGCAGTCAGGTTTAGCAGCGTTAAAACAACGCAGTAAAGTAGACCCCCTGATTATTGGGTAAACAGACGATATATTATTATATTGTGCCATTATGTAAAATAACAAGTTTTAGTGCTGGCAGACCTTTGGCCAGGAACACACTACGATTTCGGAACCCGTCTTTTTCTTTGTTAACCCGTTGTTTACCCTTTTTTCCACAGAAAACACGAACAAAAAAATCGACCGGCTTTAAAGATCGGCCTATTACGAGAACACGCGAAAATATGAGCGCGTGATCTGATAAGGGGAAGGGGTGGCGTTTTTATTAGGCTGATTTAACAACAGAAAGGGGACGTCTGTTGACGACTCTCCGCGCAAATCAAACAACTGCCTTGACCAATGGCAGAGCAGCAAATTGGGTAGCGGAAGTCGAGTGTAGTCCTTTCCGCGCGCTTTCCCGTCGTCAAATGACGTTCCTGTTCTGTTGCTAAATCAGCGTATTTTCGTGTTCGTGCTTTGTCGATTTCGCGGACCCGACTATCTAGGAGCCTGGAACGGGCTAGACCACTGTGTTCATGCTATAGTGGAAAACTTTTCGTACCGACACGAAAATCTATCCAGTATAGCATGAACTTCTATACGATATTTGGCTCTCCACTTTAGAAATTCACTCGGTTACAGAAATCACTTCGAAATCAACGTTCTTATGTGTGACCAGTAGCCCTGTTTGGTATGATTTTCGTGCCGCTGCGAAAGCTATCCGGAATAGAGTGAACATTGCCTAAGAAAATACCATCTCTGCCATCTGCAGCAGTCCTGGCTTAAAGTTTACCTATGGAGGGCAACCGAGAAGCCCTGGGGTCGAGGTTGCGGTTTTTGGTAGGGCAATACAAAATGGCGGAACATTTCAAAGTCACGTTTTGCGAAGAAGGAATAGCCTATTAAACTGCTGCCTAAAAACATAGCAAGAACAGAAACAATACGACTCGACGGACATCTGCTATTTGTAGAATTTAAGCAGAACAAAACTCCTTTTTATCTCCTGAACTTTTTAAAAAACAGCCAAAGTTGGAAGACGGGAACTCAATAGCATCGATCGGGGCAGGCATGCTTTAGTTTGTTTTAAAACTAGGAATTGTTTTGAATAAATAATGAAACAATTATCAGTCTTTGCAGTTTTAACTTAAAATATGCTTCTTCCGACAGGTTTTTTTCAGACACATTAGAACAGGCTTTCTTTATCGTACTTTTAAGCTGACTGAAGTCTATTGTATTCTTCTGCACCCTAGTCCTAAATTATTTCGGTCAATGACCAAATCATGGGCGGATCTCCTTGTACAAGCCTTTGGATTTTTGCGGTCTCCTCACCACTCACTGTTTCACTGTTTTTTTCACTTTCTTTATTAGTTATTTTATGAAAGTGTTCTTGTTCAACTTAAAACTGTGCATGTGTTGTTCTTCAAGATTAATTAAGATATTATGAATTGTAATTATGGTACCATGAATTTTATCTCAAACTGAATGTAATGCTGTAATCTTACGAGTGGTGCTGTAAATAAATACTTAAAATAGATAAATAAATAAAAGATGACATATGACACCAACTAGTGAAGCCTAAAATCTGATATGGCTAGCAATTTACCCGAACGGTCACGCAAAAAAAAAAAGGAAAAATTAAAGTAAAAGTACCAAGTGTAACTGTAACAAGTTTAAATGGAATACATACCATCTGTGATGGCTGCTTTTGATCGGACAGTACCTTAAAAAAAGGAATGGGGAACACATTAGTTAAAGATAGGTTTGGCATTCATTGTATTGCTCTTCTACCACAAAGAACGTCCCAGTTATGAATTTTTGATCACACTCATCTTACTCCAAAATAACCACGTAAACTTCAGTAACGTGATCAACTAAGGTTGGCCAGTGCATAATCTATTCTGGTAAGATATGTGTTCAAAAGATGATATCTTTTAACAATGCAATATTAGTAGCACAATGCCACAGGTGATTTACAAAATATCTGCTGAAGATGGGCTGCACTGCTCTTTGCAGATCAGACATTTAGAGTTCGACATCGTTGTGGCCCACGATCAGACTTGTTGGGATATATATATGTTCTGGGGTGCCTTCCCGTTCTATTGGGGAAAACGTTGCTTTACTTCATGACGTTGCCACCCATGCGAATGAGCTCAATCTTTTTGTGGCCATTTTGTCTTTGGACCAAGAGAAGGCCTTCGACCGTTTTGATTGGTCTTTGTCTTTTGCGTACCCTTTTGTCTATGGGCTTCAGCTCCCCTCTCATTAGCTGGCTTAAACTTCTGTATACGGATAATCGTAGTTCTATCCTTGTTGACAGTTATATATCACCGTCTTTTAAGCCTTCTCGGGGTGTACGCCGGTAGGGTTGTTCCTGTCGCCTTTGCTCTATGTGCTCACCATGGAGGTGTTGGCCGTTAATAAGGACTTTAAGATCCAACGAAGCGGACGGCG